CCTACAAGTGGCTGAAGGAATGGGGAGCTTCCCGGGCCAAAAGGAGTTGACTCTGTTGGTGGAACATGGGGAATTTCGAAGACTGGGTGAGGAAAGTGAGTAAAATGATAAAAGTGGATACATGGTGTCTAAAGAGACATTTTCTTCCGGGAAGCAGCATTCTTTTATTAGTTCTACTGATTTTCTTTAGGCCCTCTTCCATCAACTGTCCTCTTAGCCAGATGTTACAGCATATCTTGACTTATCTGCCTGCATTCTCTATCCCAATGCATCAGTTTATTCAATGATTCCTTAAAGACAATCAACAATGTTTCTATTGTGTGCCACCTACTGCCCAATTTTCTCACGTTATATTGTTGTTTTAATATAACTATTTGAAAACTCTCCAAAGCTCGTTGGCATCTACAACATACACACATACCTCTTAACTCCATAGCAAGGCATCGAATTCCCCACACCTGTCTTTACTTGGTCTATGTGAGTCATGACCTTCCAGGTATACTTCCTGGCTTGCCACTGATGAAGAATGTCTAATATTTAAAGTCAGAGAGATGTCTTCTTTATGAACTTCATCTCAACCACTTCGCAAAAATTAATTCCTCCCTCCATTATGCTCAGTTAGAGCATTTATCACCATTGTATCCTAGCTTTATAAGAGTCTCCCAGCTCAAACAGGCTCACGTCACAGTTTTCATGTTCTCTTTTGTATTCATGAAGCCTAACACATTGTCTGGCACAGTGGGTGACTAATTAATGTTTGTGGATCCTTTAGTGAATAAATAAAAAAAGATGACACCACCTTTAAAGTATGCAAAGCAAGATTATTGGAGAGAATTAGCTTTGAAATATTCATTCTCTGAATAATTTCCTTTCCCACTAATAGGAAACGTGGCAGCCATACATATTTCCTCAACGTAGCGCAGAACCAGTGGTTTCTATAAAGTGTCCTTGTGGGTGTACCTTCCCTTGCTGCTCCCCCAAGAATCTTATAAATCCTGGCTGAAGGCTGCTGTGGACTGCTTGCACTGAGAAAAGGAGTATTTTTCTGCTTTCGAAATCCCTTACCAGATTTCTTCCTGCCACCAGCGGTCTGTAAGCCCTCTATCGCGAATTTCTATCTTGCAAAAAACATAAACTTTTGAATATCAAGATCAGGAACCATGTGAAACCTGCAATCCCTTCTGCCAGGGCTTCCAGCCTCTAAAACCCAGCACTATTTGAGCGCCCATCACACTAGCATTCAGGTGATAAAAGGAGGGGCGCTCCTTTCAATCCTTAGCAAATGATTGAGCTCTAGAAAATGAATGTGTTTTGATGCTTGCTCTGAGTTTCCTCCCCATTCCTCTATTTCAAATGCACAGTAACTTTTAGCTTGCTGCCAGCGATATATCATGTGTGGGAAGCTTTCCATCAAAGGTAAAAAGAAAAAGAAGGGGGGCTACATTTACCACCTGAATTCTTTGCTCTAGTTCCCTTCCCCCCACATCTCCCACCTGCCTCCAAGCCAAAATACAGGAGGTAAGCAGTTTGTTGCAATCCCCCTTGAATGTCATTTCCTTTGGAAGGTAACTCAGCTCCTCCAGGCTCCAGATGCCTCCATACGCCCTATCTCCGTCCCCTCCCTCTTGCCCTGTGCAACCTTCGCCAACTGCACGCTGCTGCCCTTCTCCCAGAACTAAAGAAAGAATTGGCCGCAATCAGGGGAAACGGATTAGCCTCAAATTCGGGAAAGCAGGTGGCTGGTCCTTAAAACAAGAAGAGCAAGCTCAGAAGGGAAGTCGCAGCAGGCTTCCTTCTTGCAAAAACCTATTCCGGAATCTTCCCAATTTGGCGCTCCGGCCTCTAGAAGTGACTGCGCAGCCTTATAATAAAGAGCACGGTGGCCTCTACCCTGCAGCAGGCACGGCTGGAGCTTTTCTCTGGGCAACTTCCAATTTCCAGTCCCTAGCAGTTAATGGGACTCTCCCCACGACCCCCGCCCCGCGCCTTGGCCTGAGGCTGCACCCCTCCCCCACCGCCCCACAAATCTGGGAAGACAACCCTGTCCGCCTTCTAGAGAGCTTGCTCTGTGCAAGGCAAAGAGACAGCCACGGGCACGTTACGCTGGTCCTCACGTCCTTCTTCCGTACCGCCCGGCGGGAGGGGGGAGGGGCGGGGAAAAAAGAGCGGAAATTTAACACTGGTAACTGTTACTACGGCATCTGAGAACTTGCCCTCTAAAAAGCAATAAGTAAGTAAATTCACTGTGAATAGAGAAGGTGCAAACTGAAAAGAAGGCAGCGGGGCGCGGGGGGGTGGGATGGGGGGAAGGAGCAAAAGGCAAGACCTCAAATCTGTGTTTGACCTCGGGGTTCAAAACCGACCTCGGCCGGACCCGCACTGCCACCCCGCGCCCCATCATCTTCAAGCCTCCGGCTTCTCCGAGCGCCTTTGGGGAGCCAAGGAGACGCAAGGAGGGGGCCCTGAGCGGGAGCGCTGGAAGGGCCGAAGGGAAGCGAGGGCGGCTGCGCACAGGGAGCGCGCGGGGCAGGGCCGTTCGCGCTCCCGGCCCGGACCCCTCTCGCAGCCCGCCGAGCCGTTCTGCAGCTGACATCATTGCCACAAGGAGGGGCTGCCCGTGCGAAGGCGACTGGAGAACACGGTTCTCGGGCCTCGCTGGCGGAGGCGCTCGCTCGCCGCCTGGCAAGCGTAGTGCGCCGGCAGCGGCGGCGGGGGGAGCCTCAGCTTGCCGGAGCTGCGTGCGGCAGTTCTTAATTTAGCAGAGGGAGAAAGGTATCTTTAGACCTTTGCGCGTCCATCTCTCCAGTCTTTCGTCACCACCACCCGCACTACATCCGCGCTGCCTACGATGAACCAGACAAAGGCAAGAAAGGGGGATACACTATTACTTCCACTTGCTTTCCAACGCCCCCCAGCCCGCACACACGGAGAGAGAGAAACCAGGACAGCCTCGAGGCTGAGTTTTCCTGCCCTGACTGCGCGAGTCGGCTTCAAACAAGATTAAGAGTGGAATTCCATTGAGTTTTTACCAAGTTGCAAAGGTGCCCGCAAGTACTGCCCCGCCCCCACCCCCTTTGGAATCCCGTCTGTGGCACTTCTATGGGGAAACTAGAGATGAGTCGCTCCAAGTCAGAAGGCGCCGCCGTCCTCTGGGTGTTGCGCCCAGTGTTCGGAACTGTGCTCCGCGCGTTCCTCAGGTTGTTTCCTGGCTGCGGCGCTAAGAGCGCGGCCGCGGCCCCGCCAACACCATCGCCTCCTCCTCACCTTTCTGCCCCTTCCCCGGCTACCCGGATTTTCAAGCACTTAACTCCGACACTTTCCCGTGTACGGAAACAGCGCTAAGGCTAGGTCTAGATCCCATCTCGGGATGTTTCCACGCGAGGAAGGACGCGATTTCTGTTTTGGCTTGTTGTAGTTACCATTTAATTCTCCTCCTTTTGTCCCAGCCCCTCTTCTTTCCTTCCCATCTTTGCTTTGTGGGTGTGTGCCGCAGTGGCGCAACTTTCCAGTCCCGGCTCCGGAGCCAACATTTTGGAAGGGCACCCTGCTCGGAGAGGCGAGGGCCCGCCCGCAGGCGCGCGCGCACACACGCACTCCACACGCGCACCCCAGCGCCCTGCACCCCAAGCCGCAAGGGCGGCCAAAGCAGCGGAGCTCGGAATGAATCATTCTGCAAGCAAAGGGACATTGTGTGAGGCTCTTTTAAAAAGTCTTTGTTGGGAGAGGCTTGGAAGTGGCTCCTGCAACACACTCTTGTGATAGCGACAGCACCCTGCACCCTGGCGCGGAGGAGGCGGCGATTTGCGGCTCAGCGCTCTCAGCAAGTCTGGTCTCCAGCACGGGGCGTTCTGCCACTGTGCCCTGATAAAGTGTCTCAGGAAACGTACCCATCTGCGGCCACTGGCTTGCAAAAAGTCACCGTTTCCCATAGCACTCTCATTAAGAAGCCTCTCTTCTCGAAAAGGCGCAGTTTTCAGTTTTATGGCTATGATCTTATAAAAAAATTCCTTTGTGGAGAAATGAACTGGTTTTTTTTTTTTTTCGGGTCTCTTAGAAAACGCCATATATTTATGGAATAAGTGGGCGGGCTTTGGCTAAGGGATTACCAGTCATTTATTTAGAGCAAGAAGAACCCTTTTACGTTTGGCTACACTCTTAGAAAAAGTCTTTTTTTTTTTTTTTCATAAGAAAAGGATGCCGTCTTTGGTCTGCGCGATTAAATGAAGTTGCCCTGTTTTTAAAAAAGATAGGCAGCACTTCCCACACCTACCATCTCCACATCCAGCAGGTGCTGGCTGAACACAGCCCTGTAAGTAGGGCGGGAAGGAAGGGCGGGGAGACGAGTGCCAGTAGGAACAGCCCAGGGGACCCTGCGCGCCCTGTGGCGGGCCGCGCTCTCCTGCGCTGCGCCAAGGTCGGACCCCCAAGAGTACAAGCCACCCTGGCGGGGATCCAAAGCCGACAACCTCCCACCCCCACCACCTCCAAGAGACCGGGCACAGCGAGGCCCAGCCGCTTGAGGTCCGACGCGGATGCTGGGCTTTGGGCTTCGCCCCAGTGCTCAGACCCCTCCGCCAGGGGAGCCTGGGAGCCTGGGGCATGATTTTACCTCAGCACCTTGCCCCAGTCTTGAGTTGCGCTCAGCCTCGCCAAAGCCGGTTGTTAGGCGTTCAAGGGAAAGACCTTTTTGCACAGCCAATGTCGGGGAAATTCATGCGCGGACACTTTTCTGACAAAAGTGAGAGTTTTCGCAAAGTAACCAAGCCGAGCGGTGGCAGTGCCAAAAAGACATTCTCTTAGCGCTCACCCCCGGGATTCGCTGCTTGCCTTCCCTCCGGGGAAGGGAAGGGGGAAGGGAGGACGCTAGAAGCGTGTCTAAAGCCACTCTGTGGTCCTAGTCCAAACCCCAGGCGCAGGCAGCAGGCAGCCTCCGCGCACTGAGTGCGGGACTCATGCCTCCCCCGCCGCAGTCTGTTCTGGCACCCGCACGGGATACTTACTCAGTGAACGAAGCCTCTAGAGTAGAATGAAGAGGGAAACGTAAAGGAGAAAAAAGGCTTCCGCCCGCTCCACGGAGACTGCGATTGCTGTAGCGGGCTCTACCGCCACAGCTCGCAGTCCGCGGAGCAGCTGGTGTCGTGCAGGCTGTTTGTGAGGCTGTCGGGGCCGCCCGGGCTGCCTGGGCTGCCTGTGCCTGCCGCCTGGCTCGCCGCTGCCACTGCCACTCTGCGCACTCTGTTCGCCTCGCCTTCCGCTTTGCCGCGCGGGCCGCTGCGTGCAGCTCTGGCTCACAGCTCCTCCCGCCCTGACAGTTCGCCGACTGCAAGGAGCCAGTGTCGAGCCAGCCCTTTTGAATGGCGAGGGGGAGGGACTAGAGAGAGGGGGAGAAGGGGGAAGGAAGGGGGGTGAGCGAGTGGAAGGAGGGGTGGGGGGAGAAGTGAACCAGTGCCCGGGCTGCCTGTTGGGAGGGGATGGCGCAGCACCAACTGCTGGGTACCCCCCTCTGGTCCCCACTCTCTGCACCCCACATCCCCCACCGCTCCGGGGGCTGCTCCTCCCCGCTGACGGAGAACCGGGGGAGAAGGGCGGGGGCGAGACGGAGGTAAGCTTGGGAAGTTACTGCTCGCCGCCCAGAGAAGGCGGCAGAATGCGTGCAGGCGGCACGCTCGCGTGCGGGACCCGCTGCTGGGGAGAGCGTGCGGCTTTCGGGCTGCCCGCTTTCCTGAGCAGTAATGAGGGCATGCCTTGCTCCCCTAGGTCCTACGCTCAGTGCTCTCGCAGGCCACCCTTGAAGTTTCACTCATTTACATTATCTTCCAGAAGTTTGATTTTTTTTTTCTTACTCAGCGTGCTTGCTTCTCTCGCCATCCCGCTGGCTGCCCTGACTCCATCCAGCTAAAGAACAAGCATCCAGCAGCACCATTTTCTCATACAAAGGATACTTAAGGCAGACTAGTGGAAGTAGGGGAAGGAGCCGGGCAAAGCCGCAGTTGGAGCTGAGAGGCTGTGTCGGCATAAACCGTACTCAACAGTGAGCGGGTCTGGGACCTGGGTTGTCTTTCCCGAGTGATCGTCTGGGGGCGGTGAGTGAATGGGGGTGAAGGAGAGATCCTAGCTTTTGACTATCCCCGAAAGCAAGTCAGAGTGAGCTCAAGCAGGTCGGTGCCTGCGAGCTGCTTTTGTGGGGTCTAGGCGCATCGCTGCCGGGGACGGGGGCAGCATCGCGGGTGTGGACAGCGCTTTGGCAAAGTAGGAGAGGATTCGAGAGAAGGAGGAACCCAGCCGGAAGCTGCAAGGCTGGTGCTTACCGCGCGCTCTGGCTGCCTAGTTGGCGACGCCCGGGCGGGCATCAAGGTGCCAGGTCTCCCAAGACCACTGAAGCGACTGGGGCGATGTGGCTGGTTTATGGCTCGGATGTGTCATGAGTACCAAGAAGCAGAGGCCCATTCCCCCGTCCCTGTCTTGGGATTACAAATAAATAGCAAACAGCATCAAAACCTTCACAGCTGATCTATTCTGATTCTTGTTCCAAGGAGCAAGTCCTTAAATTTAGCCAGAGGCCAGAGAATAAACCAGGTGAATTCTCTACATTCACTTCTCCATAAAGCCGTGCCGTTTGCAGGTGAGGGGTGGTCCACTTTCCGTTCTTAAGCTGTAGAGAAACTTACCTTACTGGTACATTGCTTTGTATCTGAAAGGGGGAGGCTCTCCTTGCTGAAATAAAAGGAGAAAAAGTAGACAGTTTTCGAGTGCCAAGAGCATAGTATCCATTTTTATTTTTTTGTCTCCTGACTGAAAGGGAGATGGCATTCGTGAAAGGATAGAACATAAAGAAGGAAAAGAATGTGCGAATTATTATGAGTTGATTCTCTCAACAGCTTTCTCACGAAAAGTTTTTTATTTAAGGGCAAATCTTTATGACTTCCTTCTCCAGTGTGTGCCTCTCCATCTTCTTAACTGTCTCCTTTCCAATTCCTACTATTTTCAAAGGTTAAAACCTTGGTTCAAATATTCCTCACATTACTTTTCTTTTTCTTTTGCATTTTTAAGCACCTAAAGCCACAACTGGGAGAAAGATTAGCACCGCAGTCCAGTGCGACCTGCAGGAAAGAATACAGGAGGAAGTATTTGCTTGCTCAGGTCTGGGGGAGATGCTTTACACTTGTGTTTTCTACCTCCGGTAACTCTGCCTCCATCATTCATAGTATCCAGCACGTTCATTGTCCTCTTCTCAGGAGCTAAGAAATATCTGGGAGATGAAATGAGATGCTGTCAAATGGTTACAGCTCTGACTCTTAGGCTTTGCACTGCTGGATGAGACTCTCTCATAGGGGATGGCAGGAACTCAATGAAAATAAAACCACCGATTGATCCAGGACAGTATGGCAGAGCCATACCATGAAAACCCTTTCAGAGCACTAAGGATTATTTATAGCATCCACATTTGACACCAATTAATTGATTTCTTAAAATTTCCATCTAAACCTGAGATAGGGGGAGAGACCTGTGGTGACTGTTAGGAAGAATTTAAAGATAATCACCATGACCAACCTAGGAGGTTTGTATTACTATCCCCATTTTGCGATTCCCCAAACTGAAGCTCATAGAGCTTGCATAAGACCGTGGAGCTAAAGAGAAACAGATTCTAGAGTCCCATTCAGGGTGTGTAACTCCTAAGTTCAGCTACATGATTGCTTCATAGTCAATCTACAGTTTTCTGCAATAAAAAGAGCTCAGCATTTACTTTAAGGTGTATAGTCCAATAAAAAATGATCTCTGTGAAGTAGAAACATTACTTACAGACCAAGGAGATTCCAGTAGTTGATCTAAGTAACCCAGAAAATCATCTGAGAAATTCAGTTTGTTGAAAAGACTGACAGAAATCCACATCTGAAAATAATGAACACTTTCCCCATTTTCTGTTCTCCTATGTTCTGTCTGATGGTGGCACCAATGAGCAATGGAATAACCAAAAGCCAGGACACCTGGCAAAAACTCTCGGCATTCTAGATAAAGGACTGATGAGGACTCTGCTCTGCCTACACAGAGAAGGACTTTTCTCTTATTGACTGCTTTTTATGCACCATCTACATTATATAAATTGTCCTAATAATCCTCAAAACCATTCTGTGAGGTAAGTATTATTATTTTTTTAAAATGAGGAAACAGAGACTAGGTAAAATGCCCTAGTTTATATAGCTGTAAAATGCAGAGTTGGGAAATTCAAATCCCTATTCTTTACAAACCATTCTGCTGCTTCTCAGCATATGGTCTTCAGATTGTGTGGTTACAAGTTTTCAGAATGTGGGTTACATAAAAATTTTATAATTAATAAAACCCCATGAAGTAAAAAGGACATTGGGATTCCGTTTCTTGGAGGAGATGACATGAAAGAATTATGATATTTATTGCACTTTTTTTTTTGCCTTCCAATTAGGTACCTGAACCAGAGTTCTGCTTTGATGGTAAAAGGGAAATTATTGTAATTATATATATATATATATATATATATATATATATACCTTGTAAGCATGGAAATATGCCTAGTCCCTGAGAGTTGAACTATAAAGTTATTATATGTAAATAGTGGATCAAATAAGAGATTTTAAGATCTCTTGTAAGGATGTTTCTCAGGCCTGTAAGAATTGATTAAAACTAAAAAAAAGTGTTAATCTGAAGAAGGATTGATCAGCCATGGTGTTCCTGTAAAAGAAAACTCAGAGATTGAATATTGACAATACTTATTCATGCATATTTTCATCTCTCTGACAAAGGTACACTTAATATGAGATTGATGAAATCCATCAGATTTTCTGTTATTTCAATTGCCCTTACATTGCAACATCCCTTATCAAATAATCTGCCATCTGATTGTGATTTGCCTTTCCATATACTCTCTGTGCAGAGAGAAAATGCACAGGTTATGCAGATGAATGAGCACAAGTTCCTTGTATCTATCATATGACAGTTATTACATACCGAATTCCATCCATTTTTATTGCAGAAAACAACTTGCACTGTAAATTGCACATAAATATAATCCATATATCTTCATTCCTATTGGAAAAGTAGGTGGTGTGTGGACATGAAACAGTAAGACTGGGTAAAATACTTGGCATATTTCAAGTTAAATATTAAGTCATCAGCAATAATTGCATTTAATTGGAAGCAGTATTGCCCAGTGGTTAAGAAATGGACTTTAGTTTTAGATCAAATTTGGAGTCCCAGGTCTGACACTTTCTTGCTGTGTGGCTAGAGACAGATTAATCTCTAGACCTGTGCTGTCCAATAACATAACCTCTAGCCACATGTGTCTAGTGAGCATATGGCATGTGGCTTTTGCAAGTTGAGATGTGTTGTGAGTGTAAAACACCTTATGTTGAAGACATAATACAACACAAACATATACTTAAGTGTACAAAATATCCTGCTAATATCTTATATCAATTTCATGATGAAATAATATTTTGACTAATTGGTTAAAATATATTGTTAATTTAATCTGTTTATTTTTAATATTTGAATGTGGCTGCTAGAAATTTTTAAAATACAAATGTGGTTTGCCTCATATAATTTTTATACAAAATTACCCAAAAACCTTCAGTTTCTTTCTCTAAAAATGGAGATAATAAGATAATAACCTAATCCACCCCAAAATATTATAGTGAAATATAAATAATATAATTCACCTATAATGCTTAGCACATTGACTGACATTCTGTTAAAAGTTATCACTTTCTAAGACTTAGGAAATAAAGATGTTGCATAAAATTAAATGATGATTTAAATCCTAGAGGGATAGGGACTGCTGAAAGAGAAACACTTGGTTAAGAATTTGGTTTTCTTTTAGCCCTAAAGAAATCTTTCTACAGCAGCAAGCATGCATGTATACTGGCATGGAGACGGATAAAGTATATGCAAGTGCTTTGAAAAGTTAAAAGTGCTTTTCAATTCTAAACATTTTTACTATCTTCGTTTATACAGGCACTTTTACATTTAATCAGTAAATACTTCTAGTGTTAAGGCATTCAAGTCAAAAATGAAGAGAAGGCTTCCACGGGTACAGGCACACAAAATGCAAATGATTTCGTCAGAAGCTAAAAGTAGAAATGGGATAAATCCCGGTGGTTACAGAGCAATATGCTGTCAGTGTAACTGCAGACATACTGATTAGATGAACATCTTAACTGGAAACACTAGAGGGTGCTATTAGTGAAAGCTTAGAAAGATGAATGAGGCCTTCCAACACCCTTCCCCCTCTCCACCACTATAGATTATAAGAATTTGAAAAGGGCATACCTGTGAAATGAAACTAACACTTCTCCATATCCTCCTGGACATGACTTGTAAGATTATTTTTAGTCCTGG